CCAGGTCGGGTGAGACGCGCCGCCCGGGAGGGAGGAACAGGCTATGAGAGAACGCCTGCGGCATGGCGCCCCACCCTGCGTCCGTCGCGCCGATGGGCCGTCGAGTGCCGAGTCCACCTTAGGTCAGCCACGTGGCAGACTGGACCGGCGCCGCGGGGGCCCGTCGCCGGCCGGAAAGGGGCCGCGGTCGTCCAGGCGCGACGCGGCTCAAGCCTCGCGAGGCGACGTGGAGGTAGAGGAGGAGGATCTCGATGAAGGGGGCGATTTGGGGTATACTCTTCGGGGGGAACTCTGCTCGTGGTTTCGCCTGCCGCACCGGTCTTGGGCCCAGGGGTCGCCCGCTTCTTCCCCGGCCCCCGCGGGGGCGAGACACGGGCCCACCTTCGCGCCGGGGCCGAAGCGTCTTTGAAGAACCTCTCCCCCGCAGAGAGGCAATTGTTTATTTCTTCTGACGCCAAGGAGTGGAGAGCCATCCTCGACTCCTGAGCCGTTCGAGTCTTGTCTGCCTCCGAGGCTGCCCTCGTGAGGAGGAGGCTCCCGGGCTGGATCGTATAGTGATGCCTTTTGAACCGGGTCTAGGGCAGCCGCAAAATCCCGATGGCGCGTTCAGGGCCATCGCGATCCGGCAAGGAGGAATTGCACGTTTTCCCCGCCCCAGAATCGGGAGGTATCATGGTGACCCATCAGGCCATTTGTTCATTTGGCTGGGCGCTAGAAATGGCCGATGACAAGAACGCTTGTTGCCAGTCCGATCGGCCGGCGAGGCCGGAGGGATCGATCTTCTGCGAGCCGCGCCAAGGTCGGAGTCCAGCTCCCGGGTAACTCATGGAGTTTGTGGCGCCCGCGCATGGACTCAACGACGCACTCTTGCTGTGGCATCGTACTGTGAGCCAATGACTGAGAGATGACGGTTTCCCGATATCCCTTCTCGAACCCTGTCCATGGGTCAGGCGCTCGTCCCAGGGTGGAACCCATTCTTGTTCTCATAGAGAGGGGCGGCCTCATAGTGGCGAGCTGTCCTAGTGGCTCATAGTGGCCCCTCCGAGTTCAGACGCGTTTCAGGCTCGGAAAATGAGATTCAGGAGAGGCCGATTTCGCTGGGAGGCGCGCTGAGCAAGGAGGGGGTAGCTATTCCCGATGAAACTTGCTACGGGGCGCCTGGCAGACCCACGGGCCCTGCTCAGCCCCGAGGAGATTAAGAAAAGCTCTATCGGACCGCTGTCGCTCATATTCAATGGCTCGGCAGAGAGCCGAACCTTTGTGGCCGGCGCCCCATTGCAGAACGCCGCGATGACCTACCACGGTCAGTGACGCCGTGCTACGTATCAAGGTAGCGAAGCATCTCAAGAGCACCGCTAGTCAAAAGATTGCCACCTGGCCCCTGGGCCCATCCAGTTTGACGCATGTCACGGCGCCCGGCGCTGGAGGCCCCGGGTCCGCGAGGCGACACAGGGCCCAGGGAGGTCGGCTGGCCCTGGCGGCCGACTCGACGACTTGACGATCGGACAGAACAAGATGGCGATGACATCCGTTCTTAGCTGGAGGTCGACTCGCTTAAAGAGGGCAGTGGCTTCGTCTGGAGCTGCTGAGATTTTGCCCCTGTCAGCAGCGTTGGCGGGGGCTCAGTGGCTGTCCGCTCTCTGGCGCGATCTGACATTTGCAAATGTGAAACGCCCCGATTGGCATCTGTCGCATTCCCCGTTTTCAGTCGCTTTACGCAGTGATTGCACTTTGTCAGAATTAGTTGAGCCCCGCATGGTATTCGATGCTATGTCTATATTTGACACGCGGTCGAAGAACTCCGCCGCTTCGAGAGCTGCCAGAAGAAACTCGAAATAATTGGCTGTCGTGAGATACAGCCTCAGTGCGATAGGCTCGCAAGTGAGATGGGTTTCCCACGGCCGAATGGCCGCTGACGCTCCGACCACGGCGGATCCCGGCCGCGGCAACTTGGCGTTGACCGATCTGCTTTCGAGGGGCTCCCACCTTACAGAACGGTCCTTAAATAATTATCTCAAGTCCCGCTCTCGCTGCGCCTCCAGAGTGACTGTAGTGAAGGCTAGTCATTTGGGGCCGATCTCGCTATTATGTTACGACGCTGAGAGGGGCATCGATCAACTCCGGCTATGCCAAACCCACTGAGAGTAGTCCCGCTGATGTCATTATCCTCTTCTCTTCCTTCGAATTTGTGTTCCCCATACCCTTTTAGGCTTTGCGCGTCTTGCCGAGCCAGGCACGGATTGCGACATGTAGTCGATTATGCCCTCTCGGATAAATTGATGTCCCCCTCCTGTCCCCCATCCATTTTCAGGTGTCCCGGGTTCGGTCGGTCCTGGTGCGTGGCAGTCGGTTGCTTTCGGTCGGCCTGGGTCGGTCGGTTATCTTGTCGTTGCTGCGTCGCTCCGTTTTTCTGGGCAGCCCGCGGCTTTCAGGAGGGGACAACACACAGACACAAATACATGTCGATTTCCAAGAGAATATGGGGTATGGAAATTGGAGGGGAAAACGAAAATGGTAAGATATTGGCAATATGGGCAATCCTTGGATTGGTTTGTCGTTGTTTGTGTGTCCTTGGCCCCCTTTATTTGGGGCGGCCGCGCAAAGCGGCAGGGGGAGGGGAGTGGCGGGGGGAGGAGCCCAGGCGGCCTGGGCGGCCCGGGGAGCCCGACGGGTGACCACATCCACCCCTGGAGGCTCGACGCTTCAGCGTCCCTCGAGTAGGGATCGGCTGCAGAAAGCATTTGCCCCACTATTGGGGTTCGCGTCGAATCTCCATCACACCTACGTAGAATGCTGGTAGACTGCGAAGGTTCTTCGAAATATTTCGTGGATTCGACGGAATAAGTCAACTCTTGGGCACATCAATTCTGAAGTCGATCCCCTAGTCGAATCCGCCTGGTCGGTACGGCCGACACAGGTACGGTAATATTGAGGATGAAACGCAACAGCGATTCCATGCCCATCTGTTCTGGAAAGGGTTCACTGTCGTTGACCATTTGAGGCGCCAGGTTTCCTGCCCGACAGCGGCCGCTGCCGGTTTTGGACGACGTTTGCGTTGTTGGACATTGTGCCCATTGTTCTTCACTCATCTCGGGCGTGCCAGCCTGGGAGGTTGCATGGTCACTTGTTGTTTCCCTTGTGGCGGCGGAAGCTACCCCCCTCTGTTTTCTTGGCGCCGTTTTTCGGTAGCCCTCTTCAAGAGTGTTTCTTTATTGTTTGGGGCATGACGGGCGTCATGCCCCCCCCCCTCCCCCTTCGCCCCCCCCCCCCCCCCCCCCCTATAACGTAACGTTCCTCCCCCCAGTACGCTCCAGGCACTGCCGCCATGCGCATCGGGATCCGCATGGGCGTCCGCAAAGGAATCCGCATAGGGGTCTGGTCCGCAGTCGTCGTCGTCGTCGTCGTCGTCGTCGTCGTCGTCGTCGTCGTCGTCGTCGTCGTCGTCGTGTTCGTCGTCGTCGTGCTCGTCGCTCGTCGCTTGTCGCTCATCGTCGTCGTGCGCGCGGACGCTGCTGGATCCGTTTAACAAAAATCCGGGCCGACGACGGCAATCATTTGGGGGCGGGGGCGGACGGGGCCAATGACGTCACGTTTCGCGCCGGCGGCGTCTGGGAATGTTTAGGAAATACTGAGGACGGGTAGCAGCAGCATGTAGGTGGCGATCTGCACCACGGCGCCTGTGTACACCACAGCGCCTGCGTGCACCACAGCGCTTGTGTACACCACGCCGTCTATGTACACCACAGCAGCCGCGTGCAACACAGCGCCAGTGTGTGCCACAGTGCCTGCGGGCACCATCGCTTGTGTACACCACAGCGCCTGCGTACACCACATCAGCCGTGTGCAACACAGCACCAGTGTACACCACAACGCCTGCGTGCATTACAGCGCCTGTGTACACCATGGCGCACGTGTACACCACAGCAGCCGCGTGCAACAGAGCACCACTGTTGCATATAGAATGTTTAAAGGAACACGTATGACAACATGGAGCGCCTATGGATTCCGCAGAGGACAACTGTTGTATATAGGATTTGGAAAGGAATTTGTTTGGAAAAAGGAGCGCCGCTGGAATGTACGAGTCCTCCCGAGTCCGCCCGCATCATCCCAACTCCACCCATTTGCGTCTATGAGGCTCCAGCAAAATTGGCCGTCCGAGAACCAACTGGATTGATTGTGTAGACTATTACGCGGTGCACGCTGGGATGTGCACGTGCGCTGCAGCGCCGATCCGCACGACAGGGGGAAGAGTGAGGGAGGAGGAGGATGAGGAGGAGGGGGAAGGGGAGGAGGAGAAAGGAGGAGGAGGAGGAGGAGGAGGAGGAGGAGGGGGAGGAGGAGGTGGAGGTGGAGGAGGAGGGAGGAGGGAAGAACGTCTCATCCTATTATGAGCACTTCCCTGCCGTGGCGTTTAGCTGTCCGCAGCAGATCCTTACCGGCATGCTCCGTTTTACTTGTCTTGTGGACGCAGGCGTTGTGGTGTACACCAACGCTGTGTTGCACGCGGATGCTGTGGTGCAGGCAGGCGCTGTGGTGTGCACAGGCGTTGCGGTGCATGCAAGCGTTGTGGTGTACACTGGCGTTGTGTTGCACATGGTTGTTGCGACGTGCACGTTCGCTGAGGTGTACACGGGCGCGTGGTGCACGCAAGCACTGTGGTGTACACAGGCGCTGCGCTGCACACGGCTGTTGCGGCGCACGCAGGCGCTACGGTGTACACGCGCGCTGTGGTGAACGCTAGCATTGTGGTATGCACAAGTGCTGCGGGACAGATCGCCGCCTACATGCTGCTCGCGTCGTCGTCGTCGCTCGTCGCTCATCGTCGTCGTTCGCGCGGGCGCGGTTGTGGTGCCAGAGCCGCACGGCGGGGGGGAAGGGCATTACGTCATACCCCCCCGCCCCCCCCCCATGACGCCCGTCATCGCCGAACCTAACAAAAACGCTTCTTGGGAGGTGGAAGTGGCAGGGTTACTCTTGTTCTGGCCCCCCTCGGCGCGGAGGCCCGCAAGACCACCAGGGGCGACGGTGGCTTTTACCAGAGCATGCTGTGGGATGGCCTCAACTGCAGGGGCTGACAAGGCGCGCGAGGGCGTGCCGCGCGGCAGGCAGACGGCAGCGCGCCCAAGATGGAAGCTTTTTGGGAGCCACCCATTGCCCCGATGCATTGAGCAATGTTCTGCTCCAAGCCTTACTTTTCATGGCTGGGGTTCTGTGTTGTGCTCTCACTCGAACAGATAAGTCGGCAGTCGTACACCGGCGAACATCATGCAAATACATCTGGTCAGAGGCACCGCGTGAGCAGCAGGTATTGAACCACAGTTCCTGTTTGTTTCATCCTGGACCGCCGCAGCAGCGCTCAGAACATTGCTTTTTGCTGGGTCGTTGCTCAGAGAGCGGATCATTTCAATCCAACAGCTATTTCACCGTGAGAGCGCTCGTACGACAGTTCGTTGGCCTTGCGGGCTCCAAGCTCCAGACAATGGGCAGCAGCCGAGAGGCCGCGCAAAGTCCAGATGCAGGCAGTCTCTGATGCATTGCTGGACAGTCCTTGCTTTCAGCGCCCTCGCGGGTATTGATATTGATTGTCGAACAGTGCATTCGTGGGACTGTGTGCTCTTCGCACGCCTTGGGTGGGCTCCTCTTACAGTTGCTAAATGTCTTGGCGGCCCGTCGGTCGTGAGAGTTGCCTCCCACAGAGGGGCATCCACACGTGAGCCGTACCATTCCATCGATTTGGGCCAGTTGGTGCACACGGGTTGGGCTTCTCTTCGCTCGTGCCCGCTCACCGTTTCTGATCCCCCGCCCACCCGTAGACCATTGTTGGCCCAATTTTTTGGCAATAGCCAAGACATCATTCAGGAGGGGAAACAGCACACAGACACAACTAAACGTCGACTTCCGAAAACATGGGAGAATATGGGGAGTGGGGGGGAAGATGACAATGAGGAAACTATCCTGTGATTTGTGAGTGTATTGGTTTGTGTGTCCCTAGGCCTCATTACACACATAAACATACGTTCTCGGAGCTTCGCGCGGAGTTTCGCATCGGAGCGTGGCCTCCTGACGGCGCCTTCGGCGCCGCCCCAAGGCGCGCTCCGCGCGCCAGGGGGGGGGGGGGGGGGGGGTCAGCGCCGATCCAAGAGATTCGCACGGGCCTCCGACCGTTTATGGTTATGTTTTTTGTTTTTTGCTTCTAAGTCGAGCTAGGGTTCACACGAGGCCCCCTGGCAGATGCTGTAGCGCGGAGTGGTCGTTGCCTGCGTGGGCTGCGGTGGCTCTGGATGTTGCGCTGATACCAGCGCGGCCCTGGATCTTGCATGTTTGTCAGCGTCCTATGAGGAGAACCGAATCCTGGAGGCCTCGCGCGGTGCTCACTTGTTGTATGTTCTAAGTATTACATCCGCCCCGTGAGACATGATGGGACGACGTTCGCGCAGCGATGTTCCGACGTAAACCCGACGGACATCCGATGTGAATCCGACGTAGATCCGACGTGAAGCCGACGTGGGATCCGGTGTCTACGTGTTACACTGGGTCTCAAGTTGCCTCGCGCTGCCCCCAGAACTCTCCTCGTAGACGCTCTCCAGTCAGATCTAGTATTCGTGTGAGACCACGTCTGCAGGTCTCTGCGCCTTGCAGAGAGCTACTTGAGGCAGTCGACCGTGCAGGCTCGTGCCCCTCCGCGGGCCCTGGGGGGAAAACCGCGGGCGCCCCAGGGGGGGGGGGGGGGCGTTATGGAAGAGGATGAGGGGTACGGGGAATGAAGAGGGGTCGGAGAAGGAGGATGACAAGAAGGATGATGCGGATGAGGATGAGGAGCGCCTGGGCACGCTTGACGATTCACATCTGGGAGAGCCTTCCCCCTCTGCTGGGAGGGCAGCCCTGAGATAAACGGGACAAGACCATATTGCCTGCTTTCGGTGAAGGGTTTCGCCTGAGCTTTACACTCTTGGCTAAGAACTTGCGTTTTCCCACTCGCATGGGCGCCACACCTGCATCAACACATAACGCCACACGCAAGACTTTCAAGTGATGATCGTTGGTATTTCGTGAACGCAAGGGTTGATCGGTAGGATTTGAAGAGAGATGGTCTCGCCCCAGACATTTGCCTGCGCATAAGGCCCTCACCTGGCCTTTCAGACTGAATTTCCGATCGCAACCTCAGCATTCGGTACATGTACCCGCGTGGACAGCTGCATGGCCAGTACGCCGCAATTTCTTCTACGTCTCACAGCGAAGGAGGGGAGGGAGGCAGGGCGCGGGGGCGTGCGGCCAAGCCTGCCGTGGGTTCTCCAGAACTACCTCTTTGAGAACGGCCAGCAACCGATCCACGTTGGCAGAGGTGATACGATCAACCGAACCAGTCAAAGCAGCTTGCCCCTTGGTGGGGCCAGATTTATCGGCAGCCCAGCCCGCAGTGAGACCAGCATACAAGTTTGGGACAACTTCCTTTCTCCACTGGCGAATTGGGCCCTCTGCTTGGCCGTGCTACGACTCTGT